TCCCTCCGACAACAAAGCGTTGTTGTCGGAGGGAATTCCCCTGGGCAGGGTTACGTCACGTATAGTGGTGACGATGGATGCATCACTACATGGATGGGGAGCTCTGTGCCAGGGGAGCTCTGTAAGAGGGGAGTGGTCAGCGGCATTAAGACAGCATCACAAATTGTTTAGAGTTGCAGGCTGTTTGTCAGGCACTAGGACACTTTGCCCAGCGTTTGCGGGGCAAACTTGTTAATCAGAACAGACAACACGACAGTGGTGACATATATAAACAAACAAGGGGGTACTCGCTCTCTTCCACTGTTGCAGCTGGCGCGGAAGCTCCTGATGTGGAGCAGCAAACATTTAGCGTCACTCAGGGCAGTGCACGTCCCGGGCCATCTGAATACTGTCCAGGGGCGGTCCGCAGGTCAGGGAGTGGCGCTTGCACCCGTGAATAGTGGCACGGATCTGGAATCCACCGAAGTGGATCTTTTTGCGTCTGCAGAGAACACTTACTGACCACTGTTTTTCTCGATCACAGACAGGAGCACCCCACTAGCTGTGGACGGTCTGTCGCATGTATGGCCCAGGACCCTGCTGTATTCGTTTCCGCCGGTGGATCTGATACAGCCCACTCTAGATCGGGTGCGTCAGGAGGGTCTGTCACCGATTCTGGTGGTACCTTGCTGGCCAGCGAAGACGTGGTACGTGGGATCATGGCGTTGCTGTCGGGGACACCGTGGTGTCTTCCCCTGTGGAAGGATCTGCTGTCACAGGCAGGGGGGAAAATTCTGCATCCTCATCTGGGCTTTGGTCTCTGTGGGTTTACCTGCTGAGAGGGAGAATCTGATGGCAGCGGGGCTCCCTATCAATGTGGTGACCACAATTCAGAGTGCTAGAGCGCTGTCGACAAGAGGGCTTTATGCGATGAAGTGGCGCATGTTTGAAGATTGGTGTAGGCGGAAATCTTTATCACCATATCAGTGCCCGATTGCAGGGATTTTGACTTTTCTGCAGGAATTGTTGGAAGGTGGTCGCTCCCATTCCACGCTGAAAGTTTATCTGGCGACCATCTCAGCCTATCATGAGGGCATAAATGGTGCTGCGCCAAGCACGCACCCGCTTGCCGTTCGGTTCCTTAAAGGGGCATGATGTCTGAGGCCCGTTACATAGTCAATGGTGCCGTCATGGGACCTGGTGCTGGTTCTGGAGGCCAGGTGTGAACCTACTTTTGAGCCATTAGAGTCCTTAGATCTGAGGATGCTATCTTATAAAACGGCTCTGCTGCTGGCGCTGGCGTCGGCGAAACGTGTGGGCGATCTGCATGCACTGTCGGTGCATCCCACATGCATACAGTTTGCACTGGATGGGTCGAGAGTGGTGTTGCGCCCGAATGCGGCGTATACACCTAAAGTTTTGTCAAGAGCATATAGTGTGCTCTCATTTGAGCTGCCCGCTCTGTCAAGCCTCTCTGTTGACTTTGAGGAAGACAGGAAGCTTCAAGCTTTGTGTCCTGTGTGGGCTCTACGCAGGTACGTGGAGCAAACGCGGGCTGCATGCTCTTCTGATCAGCTGTTTGTATGTTTTGCCAACCCGATTCGGGGGAAGCCACTGTCTAAGCAGCGCCTCTCGCATCGGATTGTGGAGGCGATTTCTATTGCATACAAGAGCAGAGGTTTGACCCTGCCTACAGGGGTGTGTGCGCACTCAACAAGGGGCATGGCGATGTCATGGGCATTATTTAGAGAAGTGTCTGTGGAGGATATTTGTGCGGCTTTGTGTTGTACCTCGTTTCCCTCCTTCTGGGAACAGTAGTTATATGCATAACTCAATGTTTCTAGTATGCCTAGTAAGACCTTGATTAGATGCTTCAGGTGTGTTTGATTGGGGTTGGAGCTGAACTCAGCAGGACACTGGCCCTCCAGGAGCATGATTGGACAACCCTGTTGTAATCTATCTGGCAGGCAGATTCAGGCCCTGACCAATATCAAATTCCATTCAACCATGATGCGTTTTGTAAGTGGATGCTGTCAAATTAAAAAAAAAAAAAAAAACTGAAAAAGGACAGTGAAAATAAGCTTACACAGACCTATCTGTAGCTATGGCCCTCTTAAAGAAACTGGCAAGCAATTAAAGGGAGCAGGGCCTGTATTTATCAAGCCACTGAGAATTACTCCGAACACTGCTAAGAATTGACTAGAGTAAAAATATTCTTGGCTCAAAGCTGCATTAAAAGTTAAGTTATCAAGCATCTCAGTCGTAATTTAAGTGAAGTGCAGGACTAAATCTTAACTGTCAGTCTTAGAAATGATTCATGACACTTTGATGTGCCACAAATGGGATTTTGGATGATGACACAGGCATGGACCAATCACTGAATAGATTTCCTTAAGAATATTCTCAAATAAATTCACATTGAATGGTGAAATTCCTAAGAGGAGGTTACATTCAACACACAATTGACAGTAAAGAATTTTCAAAAGAATGCATTATGATATACACATTGGAAATGAAAGAAACACGTTTTCCACCATGTCTTGATTACAAATTTTAAACCAGTGTGCTGTTGACTGACCTGAAAAGTGTCACAACCTTCAATTCTGCTGAAAATGCATTGCTGCGTAAAGTTAGTGGTGATATGACGTCCCTCACCAAGTCACTGACAAAGATGATGCCTGCTCTGTCCAAACAATAGCATTTGATTAACTGCTCGTCGTCAAATGTTTCAAGAACATTCTTCCTCTCCTGAAAGATTTGCGCATGTCTCTGTCTCCTCAGTGCCATCACAAGCCCCTACAGGCAACTCCTAACCCCTTGAGAGACCTCTCGAGCTGTCTTAAATAACTGGGAGAGTAAGAGCTTTAAGTAACTTGATACTCTGAAGTTAATTCTTAGCAGTGTTCTTCTGAGTAAGTCTCAGAGGCTTAATAAATATGGGCCCTGGTCCAACCCTGATCAATCACACCTGTCTGTAATAATCAAGTGCTTCTGAAGATCTTAATATGCTGGTTCCAGTGTGTTTGATCAGGGCCACTTTCCTACAGAGGTCCTACCCTGATCAAATTCACCTGTGTGTAACTTTCGTGTAATCCTGAAGACCTTGATGGATTCTGATATTCTCAGACTGGTTTTCAGCCCTCATTCATATGTGGAAATAAATCTGATATGAATTGGATATGTGCATTTGCATCTGCCATGTAAACAGCCAGTGCCAGTTGTATGTCTTTAAAAAAGCAACGGTGGCAAATGACGTCAACTCAGGCGGGTGCTTTTCCAGGCAATGTTGTAAAGTCCACGGTTTTCCAGCGAAACTGGGCTACTTTTACACTCTAGCTGCGGGTTGTTTTGTAGTCCGCGGGTTAAAGCGAGTGGACCCCCGATGGAGGGCACCACAGAAAAATGTGATTGGGCTGGTTTTGTTTCGCAGGCCTGGCAACCCTGTTTCTGGGTCAGTACGCCTACTTTGGGTTGTTTCATAAGGTGTTGTAAGTGTAAGGTGCAAATGCAGATAATGGTTATGGGTCTATTTTAAAAGATGATGTAAGCTGGTTGTTAAACTTTGGATATAGTTAACAATCAGAAGTGGGCATGCAGCCCTAGACACTACTGATGTCTGATCCAGTGCTTCCCAAACCTTTCCTGGGTGTCCAATTCTGTTCCTGCAGGGCCATATTATATATAGTTTAGCTTTAACCCTGATCAAACTCATCCAAACCAGCTAATCAAGGTCTTCAGGATTACTACAAAGTTACAGGCTGGTGTGCTGGAGAAGCTTGGAGCTACACTCTGCAGAAAAGTGGAAAATTATGTGATTAGATTAGAACACAAATTATGTTGGGGCCTGAGAATTGAAGAGGTGGCTACTGAAGAACTATTCAACCACTTACAGTTTTCTAATGCATTGTTTTTTTGTTTTTTTCATGAACTTAAAAATACCAACAGCCAAAGTTCATTCCCAATTTACACAACATTCATGTTTAATTTCAGTTTGATGGAAAAGTACTTGTTAACATAAGGCAGATGTCAGCTGCAGTGGAGGGAAAGAAGTGCACGGTCTGATTGTAATCAAATCTACGCATTAAAAATATGATTCTAAACAAGAAATATCACTTTGGACCTTGTTTGATGAGGCCCCAGAAAGTGCTGCATTCATTAAATATTCCAAAAGAATTAAAACCAGCTGCAGCAACATGTCATACTATGACAAGTAATTCTATGCGAGCTTTTCCATTTTAACATTCAAATATACAAGATAAATGTAACATTCTTCTGAACCATTCAAGGTGAATGGAAAAGCTAAATAAGCCTACGATATGATTGTATTTACAACAATGTGATATCTTTTGGTGGACTGTGTTTTGGTATCAAACATTCAGTGAGATGTTCCTTTAAATGCAAATAAAGGTACAGCTAATTATGACAAATTCTTGTCACTAAAAGTAATGAAGTGAGGCCTGTAACATGCTCTGTGAGTTTTAGTTCACTGGGTCCAGTAAACGTATGCATCAGTTGTCCATGAGCTTGGCGTGTGTGCTTTGATAGCCGTGTTTTTGCCCTGGTTGGGGGTTTGTAGATGGATGTCATGTGTAAAAGCCTGACACGGTTTTCGTAGCACTCTTGTTTTCTAGAGCAGGGGTTTCATGTGTTGCTGTGCCACTGGATTGTTGCTGGGTTTTAACAGCAGAGTCATGAGATTCAGGTGGCAGAAGGATGGAAATGTTGGGAGCAGGCTTGGGCTGCTTGGTCTCTGAGCTTGGCTGTGAGGTTTTGCCGCTACTCGCACCATGCTCTGAAACGCCTCTGGGTTTTCTGGCTGGAAAATCAACTTGATCTGAAAGGAAAAAAATACACTGAGTAAACAAACAAAAGGACACACTGGATTGTGACAAGTATGTCCTGAGCTACTTCAGCAATTTTATCTGATAGTGTTTCCATTTCTGATGAATAACAGGTTTCCAACATCTCTCGAACAAAGAATTTGCGTGACTTCTTTCTATTCTTGCTAGTTCTTTGTGATTACTGGATAAGGATTTTTTCTTTCAGATTCATTTACTGTAATGAAGACAATTTTTGTACTAACCAATTCACTGAAAAGAAAGTTTTAGTTTACACAAGAGTAATATCTAGACAATTAAATATTTTAGATCAGGGGTCGGCAACCTACAGTATGGCACGCAGAGGAATAATCACTAGCTATGTTTCCATCACCCTGTTTTAAATAATAAATAAATAAATAATCTTTCAGTTAGCAGACGCTTTTATCCAAAGCGACTTACACATGAGGACAATGGAAGCAATCAAAATCAACAAAAGAGCAATGATATGCAAGTGCTATAGCAAGTCTCAGTTTGTTTAACGCAGTACACGTAGCAAGTTTTTTTTTATTATATAATAAAAAATTTTTAAAAAATAGATAGATAGAATACAAAAAAAAGAATAGAGCAAGCTAGTGTTAGTTTTTTTTTTTTTTTTTAAAGAAAACAAGCAGTTAGAAAATGAATAGAGTGCAAGTCTAAAAGGGGCACTTTTTTTATGCTTTAATGCGTGTTTTAAAAAGTGTTTTAATGCGCATTTTGAAGTATTACATCAGAAACGAGTGATGGAAACGCTAAATTTTGGAGAAAAAAAATCCCTTAATTCGCAAAAAAGTTTTTACGTTTGCACGGGTTGTTTTTTAATCTTGTGCGAAAAAGGGTTGATGCGAATAATGGGAGATGGAAACGAACATTTGCCGAATAAATTCCTCCATGCGCATCAAATAAGTCATGTGACTTTGCGCGATGGGACGGCAAAACCTGACTAACCAGCGGAACGATCTTGTTGCACAGCATCTGAACTGTTATGATCATTCTGAAATAACCGAGTAAAGTCTGTCGTCAAAGTATTTCTGTACAACTGCCGACTTTGAATTTTACACGATTTTGAATGGAAACCCCGCTACTGGCACGCAAGCAATAGGGAAAACTGCATACTGACATACATTGAGGTAATCATTCTGTTAGGAGCTACGTATAAACACTATTAAGTGTGAGAATTAACTTGCGCTAGTCTACAGATGCTGCACAAACGAGGCAATTTAGATCGATGCCTCAGCGGTCTAACAGAGCTCGTCAATGTCAGAATAAGTGAGATGGCCAATCAAATCAAAGTAGGCGGAGTTTACTGTTCACAGAAGCATAGCACAAATTCCAGCGGGAAGCCAAGGTTTAACGTCGAAAGAAAGCGAGGAAAGATGGAAGTAGCAAATCATTTAATATTAGTCTACAAACAATGAAGCTGAGTTTAGCTGCTTCAAAAACAGCGATTTTATCCCCTCATTGCTGAGAAATAATGTAGTGATTCAGTATCGATTAATAAAAGTCGCGGGGCAGCACTGACAACAGGTTTCTGTGCTCCTGAATGTTTCTGTGTTTGCGCAGCGTGATCGGTGTATGCGAGTGGTGTGTGTGTGCACATCAATTAAAGCAGCGCATTAATATAGAACGGTCATTAAAGTTAACGTTTTAATGCATAATTGGCCTTGTCACACATGCAGTGGTGTTCAGTAGGGTCACATTGTAAATCTGTTATTCAAAGTCTAATTTAAACATTAAAATGAAGAAACGTTTGAAAAGTTTTAAAAACTTTACGAAAAAATGCTTCAGAAACTTTGTATAATGAAATGTAGATCTTCATGTGAACATTTAAAAATGCTTATGAACTATATAAATACATCATGCATTTAAGGAGGGGGGGGGCACTTCATGCCCAAAACGTTGCCGACCTGTTTTAGATCATAACTAGAAAAAATGTACAACTACTTTTCCAGGAACAATAGCAAGTATAAAATGTACTGATATTCTCGAGTTTTTCCACGAAGACTGTGGGAACCCTAATAAATCAGAAATGACTATCCATTTTCAACAGACTTTTTTTTTTTTACATACATTAAATAATGAACTGTATATGTTCCAATATTTCACCATCAATATCTGCATTTAATGCAACTTGCCTGATGCACTCTTCTCTGGTGAGCACGTCTTCTTGCCAAGAGACTGGGTGAAAGGACAAGGCAAAACTTTTGCTGGAGTGTAAGTGTTCAAAGGAGCCTTCTTTGTGGGCACAGCTGAGGGTCGGCAAACAGAAAGCGGTTAAGACAAATGTACAGTAAACCACACACATTATACAGTGGCAGTCAGTGTCTGTACCTGGGGAGGATGCAGATATTTCCAGTACTGGATCATGGGATATGGCTATGGAGGCGAGGAAGTCATCCACTTGTTTGAGAGACAGGGAATTATGGAGGGTCTCCAAGGGACAGATTGAAGGAACCATGGAGTACAACTCAAAACCTTCAATGAAATATACCAGAATATCAGAATCAAGACCATAAAACACATCTTCAGCTAGAATAGTCATTTAGCATGAACTCTAACTTAAGATCTTGGACACATGGCGTTCCATTTCCTCTGAAAGTGACAAGCAACAACACCGTCAAACATGAGTTTGAGGTCTGCAGGATGGAGGCAGATGGGTCACACAAAGAACAGCTCACAATACCTTCAATCTACCAAAAACACCACTTGGCCAAGATGAATTTATGAAGCGGAAATGATAATCGACCTACCTTGTATACTTTTTTTTTTTTTTTCATTTCTCAGATGAAACTAGTGAAACAACATGATTATGATTTGATATATTCACATCATGCAATTTGGCACAAGATGTCTGAATATAAATCTTCAGGAATCGTTCTAATAAAAGCAATAAGCAATGAGAGGCCATGCATTACAGTGATTATTCCACTGTAACACACAGTCTCTCATGGTTTATCGTATGAATACACACCAGCAACAGTTATATAATATAAAAAGACACCAACAGTCATAAATGGTTACATTTATCAAAATAACCAAGTTCATTAGCCTAACCCTGTTAACGGTTGCCAAGCAGCAGTTCATTTACATAATGTGCAATGCACTTTGGGTATTAGAAAAGCGCATAATAAATAAAAATTATTATTATTATTTTTATGATAAGTGTGGATTTACTAGCATTTTACTGTGGACTGACATTTAGATTATTTCTACTTATATTTAAATGCTGTCCTACTTAACACCCAGATTGATTTGCTAAGGTTGTTAAAAAACAACACCTATTAACAATAAAAGAAGAGGCATCTTAAGAAGTAAAAATCTTAAGAAGACCTAATCACAACAATATAAGCCAACATACTGTATACTAGGCAATGTTCAAATTAATAGGTTTGGTGATTTACTTAGAATAGGTCTTAAATGTGAAGACTGTCTCGGCAATTATTTCAAAAAATTAAAATATAAATGAGCATTTACTTGTTACTTTTCCTTCTGCGAATGCAAGGAATAAACCAAAAACATACAATGCTCAGAGGATAGTTTCCTTGTGGATACATAAAGTTAAAAATGAAATTTTTCTTTTTAATTTAATAGGAGAGATCATAGTGGACTTGGAGTTTGGTAAGGGTCGAAATGGGGTATAAAGACTAGATCTAAATACTTACTAAACAAGTTTGGGAAGCAGAGGCAACATAAAATAACAAACACTAATTAGACAGGATAGAAGGAGTATATTAAGCATGATTAGCACTTACCACTGAACATACTGGAAAACACTGACCCATTTAGAAAAGCAGATTAAAGGAAAAAAACAAAACAAACAAACAATAAAAATGATATGCTAAAAATGGGCAATTTTCTAAACTTCCAAAAACATCATCTTAGATCTTACCCACCTAGAAAACACTATGTTATAAATATTCAGGGATACAATTGTTTTAAATAATGCTTTATATTACAGCTATTCATTGATTTCCTCTTTAATGCATGTGACCCTGTCAGATCAAAGTTTCGTGCATACTATAGAATTTGGTACTGAAAATACAGAAAACACGGGAAAAGCTAAAATATGCAGATAAATAAACAGGTTAAAATGAAAAGTGTTATATTAAATACATATCCTTTAAAGGCAGAGTAAGTGATTTTTCAAAAACGCTTTAAAAACTGATTCGGGCCGAATCGCAAAACAAACTTGTAGCCAATCAGCAATAAGGGGCGTGTCTACTCGTGATGTGGAGGAGAGCGCGTTCAGTGCATGGGACGGCCATTAGCCGAGCCGAGCGACAGAAAGATAGAGATGGCGGATAAAAAACAAAAGAGGAAAACGTCTGCGGAACGATAAGGCAAGAAGTAGGACCCGTGTAAATATCGGATCAGCTTTCCAGCGCTGGAGAGAACTCAAGGAGCGGAGGCCTGCGATCGGACGCCGAGGTTGCTTTGTTTCTTCTCAATAGGTGAGTAACACCGTGTCTACAACAGCTAAAGTCTGACTACACTGGACGCGATCAAGCGACCATTGAAAACCATTTGAAATGTGTGTCAGCACGTCACAAATAGAACCCGGCAGCAGTTTTCTGTAGGGGATTTGTTGCGCCGCGCCGCTCACGTCCGTAGACACAGTGTAACATTGGTTTTGCTTTGTTTCACAGAACTAATCGATGCCTGGGTTGCATACATATATGTGGGGCGGAGCTATCAGAATAGGGGCAAGACCCTTTTGGGGTAGGGGCGTGTTTGTTTTGGTGATTTCAAATATAAACATTGGCTACCAGAAATCCCTTACTCTGCCTTTAAATAGGCCTAAGAGCAGCAAATGCTGATCACCTGATAATTCAACATATTTCATCAGTATCTAAGAACTAGCTCATTCAGCCACAAATAAACAAGCAAATATTAGGTAACAACAAAATATGCCAAATTCCCTTTTTAACAGATGATGGAACAAAATCTATGAAATCCATCTAAAGAGACCACCGTGCAGAGAAGACATAAACTGTTGGTTCCTGGTGTGTTGAATGGGTATTTTTAGTCCTCTAAAATTAATAACTGTCACATTCCCTGTTCTGCGGTTGATGGAGGAACTCTATATCCAGAAGAACAGATCATAAAAAAACTTAAAAACTGAATGTGAGGGGAAGACATGGGAATTAACAAAAGCAAACATACCATTGGTTGGGTGTCGCGCAAATGAGATAGAAAATCTTTTTACAGCAGAACCACGCGTAGCCTCTGAGAAAGAGAAAAACAGGTACCTGAAATGTATAACAGCTAACAGAAAGAGGGTTAAAGAAGGGCTAAAGAAGGCAAGAGTCATGCAGGAAAGACGCAGAGGAAAAGCAGAGGAGTGCTTGTGTTAAGTGTTCGGACAGCCATAGGGATAGTGATATAAAAAAATAAAAAAAATCAAACAAACAAAAACGTTCCGCTTTTCAATATGAAACCTCTTCTTTCCGTTCAAGATTAAGTATTAACCCTAGAATGCATAATGGGGGTTAAATTGACACGATAGAGCTAGTCAGCAGAAGACTGCAGCTCGCCTAATTGGCCACAGGTGGCACATAAGAAAGATTACATTTTGTATCACTATGCCAAGTCTTCGTAAACGGCTTCAAAATCAACTGTAGACACTTCATATTGAATTTTAACTCACCATAGTGTTTTTGTCATATTTTTTTGTCAGTATTAGCATACTACTATGACTACTACTACTAATAATAAACAGAATTAATTTACACTCCATTGATTAAAGTTTGGTTTTTCATATTTCACATCAGTCAATAGTTTGGAGTACATGTTGAAGGAATAGGCACGTTCAAACGTGTGACTGGTAATGGTCTCAGGCCATTAAACGGTGTAAAATGTCAAAAGGCAGAAAGGTGGAAATCTTTGTGCAAGATGTTTAGGTAAACAATGGCACGTATGGTCACCCTAGGTAAACAGCATTACGTTAAATCCTCAGTTTTATGGCAGGGCCCTTCTCTGAACGCCACGGCGAAAGGTTGGTTACGCTGCCAATGGATCTTGCATTAACACACACAAATACCCAGAGCCATTCAATAAAGACCCCAGTTCACCCATCGTGACTCTCTAGGTTCAGCACGGTAATGCACTGGCCATGCAACAGCGCTTGCTGAAACAAAACCTGCATACTTTCTTACACCAAATGGACAAAATGGATATAAATGAATGGAAACTTGATTCAGGGGTCAGCTGACATTAGCTAGGTTTCCATCACCCTGTTTTAATGCGCATTTTGAAGTATCGCATGAGAGACGAGTGATAGAAACGCCAAATTTCGAATAAAAATCACCTTAATTCGCAAAAAAGTTTTTACGCTCGCTTGTGGTGGTTTTTGACTTGTGCGAAAAAGGGTTGATGTGAATAATTGGGGATGGAAATGCATCTTGCGAATAAATTCCTCCAAGCGCTGTGGGATGGCAAAACCTGACTAACCAGCGGACCGATCTCATTCCACAGCATCTGAAATGTTGTTATGGTCATTCGGAAATGCACGAGCAATGTCTGTCATCGAAGTATTTCTGTATAATTGCCTCCCAGAAATGTCTAACACGACTGCGTTCCCAAACAGCGGCATCCACCTCCGAAAGCAGTGACCGCATTCATTGTGTTTCGTCTGCTCGCTCTGAGGCGCAAGTCATTTATTATATATGAAAATTATTATATTCTCCTACTTTCTTAGTGATTTATAGTGCCAGTTTATCAGGAAGTGACGATTTTGTTCTCTTTGACTCGTTGGATGGAAACGGTGCTTGTTCGCAAACGTTTTATGCGATATTCCAGTTTTGGGCATAAGTTAAATTCGCATCTTTGGATGGAAACCCGGCTATTGGCGCACAGACTAGTGATCACTGTACACACCTGATCATTGTGTATAATCAGATTATTAACAAAAGGAACTGTATCGTTTTTTTTTAGGCATTATAGACAACAGCTTATTATTTTATTCAATGTGGGTTCAATTCCCAGGGAACACACATACTGGTAAAAAATGTATAGCTTGAATGCACTGTAAGTCGCTTTGGATGAATTTAATCTTATTATTATCATACCTGATTTTTCATGAAACATACACTATATGTACAGATCATAGCATACATTTCTTTCAAAAGCATATGAGGTGCAGAATCCAAAAAAATATCCTGAGGTTGTTGTATTGTAGATTTTGCAGCATAAATACATCGCTCAGGGCAGATGGGCAAAACAACAAAAAGATGACTTATTTCAATGCAACCAGTTGAGAATGACCCGAGCTCCGGCGCTTCACACTGAAAACACAGATAAGACTCCAGGATTCCTTAAAAACAGGGACGGGGATTCACCATTAGAAGGTGTGTGTGCGTGTTTGCACATACCATCTAAGAAGCCAGAGGAGGTCAGCTTTTTACGGTGTGCGTGAGCGTAATCTTGTAGGTTAGGTGCACTGGAGGAGCCACCCAGCACCATGGTGCTAAACAAGCCAGCGCAATGAGACCCTGATGGGAGTTAGAGAAGATACATACAGCAATCGGGTGCTCCAAGAGACACACCGCGCAATGCATGCAGCATGCTTTTCTAGAAGATTCTTGCCACAGAATGAGTAGTGCAGCCTCACTGAAAGCATCCCATAATGACAGTAATGTCTTTTGTCATGGCAACCTAGTAAGGTAAACTGATCTTCAGAGGTCCTCACTTTAAAAGTATAAATTAAAAAGCACTCAGCGACCAGTAGGACGCTACACTCTTAAAAATAAAGGTGCTTCAAACGGTTCTTCAAGCGATGCCATAGAAGAACCATTTTTGGTTCCACAAAGAACCATTCAGTATTAGGTTTTTTAAAGAACCATCTCTTTCTTGCGTTTTTGTAATTTGAAGAACCTTCTTTCGCCACAAAGAACCTTTTGTGAAACCGAAAGATTCTTCAGATGTTAAAGGTTCTTTAAGGAACCATTTAGACAAAAAGGTTCTTCTATGGCATCGTGAAGCACCTTTATTTTTAAGAGTGTAAGAGATCAGAGAATGTCTCCAAGTGTTTTTAACGTCACAGGACGGTGTTGTGAAGCAGTCGTTTTCCATTGCTATTGATTATAGTATAATATCGCTTGTTGGATTTGTGCTGGTCCAATGAAGTCTAAGCCTTTTCTGAGGAACTACATTGTTTGGTGGAAGAATACTGTTTTTATTAATATCATTACACTTTATTTGCTCTGTTTTATTTTGTGAAACCTTACTACGTATATGGAATAACCGTTTTATAAAAGCAATAAGCCCTGTGAAACCATGGTTTACAGTGAATTTATAACAGCTAAGGGGGTTTAAGGCACTTTAGCTGTTATAAATTCACAGTAAACCACGGCTTCACGGGGCTTATTGCATTAATTTACTACAACTGCTGTAATTATCATATACTGCATTCCAGAGGTGTCATATCAGTTACATTTTAACGAATGGTAGAATCAGTCTGAACCGAATCAAATCAATCTGTATTGCTGTGAATGACCAGAATGTATGGTAATTTTTAACAGCTGACAACAACAATAAAACTCGTAACCTTTATAGTATTTAAGCAAATTTTCACCACTCTGGTTTTAAATAGTAAAATATGAACAATTCTTTGATATCCACACATCACAAAGTAAAACTTAAGCAACACAAGCGCTTAATTGTTTGAAAGATCACAGTCAAAATTGTCACTAACAAAACATTCTTCAGTGTCACATTCTTTCTTGGTAACGGTGTCCATGCGCTACTTCTCCCCACCAAACAACATCCCAACTTTAGTTTGAAGTGTTTATGAGTATATAAGAGCACTTCCTAGATCCAGTAACTGGTCACCATATTTTAAGCACCTTTTGTCTTCATTACTTTTAAACTGTCCTCTTAAGCAACACAAGCGCTTAATTGTTTGAAAGATCACAGTCAAAATTGTCACTAACAAAACACATTCTTTCTTGGTAACGTGTCCATGCGCTACTTCTCCCCACCAAACAACATCCCAACTTTAGTTTGAAGTGTTTATGAGTATATAAGAGCACTTCCTAGATCCAGTAACTGGTCACCATATTTTAAGCACCTTTTGTCTTCATTACTTTTAAACTGTCCTGCAGCATGACAAATTAATGACTTTTTTTTCAGTGAATAAAAAAAAATACAATCAATTGCTATTATGAGCCATAAAAGAATAGAAATAGAATAAAATACATGTAGAGTAGGGCTGGGCGATAAATCACTAATGATGATTATCACAAGATAATTTTCCGCGACAAAACGGTAACAAGAGTTCGATAAATGTTCGATATAATTTTTATGCGAATAACTTGGTATTGTGTCAGAAATGTCGTATCGAATTTTATTATATTATTAATTTAGACTACTGTTTTTCACACAAATACCTAGAAACTATAGTTACATTTTCACTATGGTATTGAGGTGTGGTTTTTAACTGTGGTTATTATGATCTAAATGTATACTACTATGAAAGACCAATAGTTAATTGTAATAAAACTCAAACAGTGGGAATATTTTGATAATAAACATATACATCTGCATCCCAACTCAAGCTACAACTACTGTCAAATGTGCATTTTCTAAGAGACAAAAAAAACAAAAGTAGCATTATTAATATTATCAGGCAGCACAAACCTGTGTCTTGATTTGAAACAATATTACTAATTAGAACATGCAGAAACCAAGAAATTAATCTTTCTATGAAGATATTTATTATATCAAGGAACAATGACTGGAAAAGTGTAAAGAATTCAGAGACGTGAAGTGTTTGTCATGTTCTGACCTAACCACAATTAATGGTCAGGTTTCTACAACTTTCACTAGGGAGCAAGAATCTGCCTGTAAACTTGAAAGAAATAAAAAATATGACATTTATCGTGACAATTATAGATATCGACTGATATGATTTGGCCCATATCGCCCAGCCCTAATGTAGAGTGTAGCATGTCACACCGCAGGACATCCAATAGCATTTCATGTCACCTGTCCTTCTACTAATATGTATAATTACACAGCAAGGCAAAAGTATATGCTGCAAACCATGAGCGTTTGTGTATATAGGCCTACAAACACACAAAGGACATTACAAGCATATATGAGAGTCAGCACTGTATTAGTCAGCTGTGTGGCAAAAATCTTAGAGCAGTGTGTTTCAGAGTTAAGCTCACTGATAGAATTACACATTCAGTCCCAATTCAGACTCAAATTAATTGGTCATTAAGTTTGAAAGAATCAAGAGAGAGCAGCCACACCAACATCACACACAACAGAGATTAGAAATGGAACGGCAAAACATTATTTGGATACCGGTACAACCAGTATGTCAGAGCTCCTCCATAATAAACACCCAACAGCATTCAGGATATTATAACATGTGTCTGTTCAGTGGATAAATATGACATCTTACCTATTCCAGGTGTGAGCTTGTGATCCGGGTGCAGTCTGCTGGGTCTGCTGTGGCTGTTGTTCTCTGACAGAACCTGAAAGAGCACAGGCAGACAACAATAACCGCTTAACAAAACGTCAACCTGCCCAGTAGGCATATTCCAGATGTTAATAAGCAGCACTGTAAATGTGAGTTCACAGGTCTATACACCAAAAACAAAACAAAAACCCAGCATGAAGGAACAGAAATGGACCATGCGTTTAGCATTGCCACACAGACTCATTCCATATCAGAAACAGGAAATGAGATCAGGAATGCAGAAGGGTATGAGGACAAACATGGCAACAGTTTATAGAGTATAATCAAACAAATCATATTTCATATGCGTTCGCATTCATGTAAAACCCAACAGAGCAGGGAACAGTGTTGTTCATTTCAGTTCCATGCAAAACCAAACGAAACATCAAAATTATGAAATCTACATTGGGGGGGAAAAAGAGAGGACAATAAACAGAAAAAAGAGCTCTCTTGCTTTACCCGAGGCCTAGATCAATCTTGATTTTCTATAAACCCTGACAGCTCAAGTCACAGATTCAGACTAGCTCTCAACTAAAAGGATTGTCAATGAAGACCGTGGCAATAAAAATACACTTCGGCTGAGGATACATGGGGCAGCTTTGGGCAGTGCTGCCATCAACAGGCAACCAGGTGAGACACAGGGCCGACCTAAAGTGTCCAGATAGAAATTTGTTACCCATTCTCAATGGGAAAGTGCCCAAGCAACAGTGCTCAAAAAAAGCTGTCCGGCAAAATTGCTCAAAAAGTTGCCCCGTGTATCAATAGCCATAGGCACACATAAAATCTGTCTTTATGTCATACACTGCCATTCAAAAGTTTGGGATCAGTAAGACTTTTAAAGTTTTTTAATGGAGTCATCAAGGCTGCATTTATTTGATCAAAAATACAGAAAAAAACAGTAAGATTGTGAAATAATATTGCAATTTCTAATATTGGTTTCCTATTTTAATATGCTTTTTATGACGCTGAATTTTCATCAGCATCATTACTCCAGTCTTCAGTGGTGATGAACCTGTTGTGCTGATTAATATTTTTTTTTTTGGAACCTGTGATACTTTTTTCTTTGATTCTTTGATGAATAAAAAGTTCAAAAGAACAGCATTCAAAAGAGAAGTCTTTACTATCACTTTTTAATCAATTTAACACATCCTTGCTGAATAAAAGTATTAAATTTCTTAAAAAAATTAAAAAAAAATTAAAAAAAAGAAAGAAATAATTTACTGACCCCAAACTTTTGAATAATAGTGTATGTTGTGACACAAAATTTCTATTTTGAATAAACACGGTTCTTTTTAACTTTTTATTTATCAAAGAATCCTGAAAAAAGTATCACAGGTTCCAAAAAATATTAAATGTTTCCAACACTGATAATAAATCAGCATATTAGAATGATTTCTGAAGATCATGTGACACTGAAGACTGGAGTAATGATGCTGAAAATACAGCTTTGATCATAGAAATAAATTACATTTTAAAGTATATTAAAATAGAAAACTGTTATTTTAAATGACAATAATATTTCACAAAAGTACATTTTTTTCTGTATTTTTGATCAAATAGATACAGCCTTGATGAGCATAAGAAACTTCTTAAAAAGCATTAAAAATCTTACTGATCCCAAACTTTTGAATGTTAGTGCATATCAAAGCAACGTCAATCTATCTGAAAGATTTTGTTTACAAGATAACACACTTCACAAAAAGCATCTGAAATAACGATCAAGCATGTCTATGTCTGATGAACCGTACTGTATCTACAGTTACTCTCCAAAGACTCCAGTGTCAACTATGTTTTGTTTTCTTGTATAACAATGACATTCTTAAGTGTGCCTAAAGTGTCTTTGAGCCACTTTATTTAGTTGAAAACTGTGCCGCCATCTTCCACATGTGTGTGTTAAGTACTTGACCGAGGTTCCCACTTTGTTATACTGTTGTGTACAAATGACAGCAAAACTGACATGGAACAACCTGACCAAGCAATAATATGCTGCAAAACAAAGACACAAGCATAATTATAACATGTGGGTTATAATTATTGTAAAACATAAAAAGATAGTGATGCTCAATAAATGGGTAAACAACACCATATGTGTTTATACTCTTACTAAGAGCTTCCTAATGAACCGTAAAAACAAGAAATGAAGATCTGGCTGAGGACAGGGACCAATGAGAGCTAAAGCAGAGACAAACGTCTGTCCTGGAAGAGATGAGTGACAAGCAAAAATCCACCCGATACATACATGATATCAGTAACACATATCCCACCAGCAGCCCACAGGTCAAATCAAGTTTTTGTCATTATTGAAATGGCGCAGGATGCAAAGGACAGCTAATGGCACAGCAGATGAATGAAAAGAGTTGAGTTACCAGGCTAAACATGGATAAAGACAGCAGATTGGTGAAGAGAGAACAATAAAATACGGAAAAGTTATCATGAGATTTTTAGTTTATGGTCTGAAAAAGCAGCAAAGGCTAAAAGTATCTTTTCTCATAACAAAAATGCATACGAACCGATATTTATTTTCGATATGGTATGACATTCAGGTTACATTTAATCAGTCTCATAAATAAGAATAATGATAATAATAACATTAGTATGCATAAATAAAGCAGAATTTGAAGTCAACCTGAAATGGCATTCGCAACCCATTTTACTTTCTTAAAATGATGTATTTCTGAGGACATTCAATGAGGGAAAAAAAAGTGTGGGGCAAGACTGGAGTTTATCCGTCAGGAATTAACTGCATGTTGAAACATAGCTGTTCAAAACCAGTGCATTTTGGAGGACTACCCCCTTCCTGAAAAACCAAATGCAGAAAACATGCTTCAGATACACAAAAATTCACTTTGGAGAGCATGTTACAATTGTAAAAGTTCATTCTCATGTTCTATTACTGCTGTGATTTTTACGTACACTAATACTAAAAGTGATTATTTATTAACAATTAACTTTTGGCAAGAATCCCCTGATACGAAAAGTGTACCACCTACAACAATATCCAAAAACAAAGACTAATCTATTCAGCTGGGTGGCCAATGTGATTTTTTTTTTTGGAGTAAAATACACTGATGAATAATACACAGTAAGGTAGAAAAAAAATGCACTTTTTTTGCAAATCTTTATTTCGTGTTGACTTTAAAGCAAAACTGAGAAACCACTGGTGTGTAAAAACAAAGACTGTGTATTCGGTGTTGTGACGTTAATGGATATTTGTGTCAAAATGTAGTACTACTCGCAGTCGATGGAGATAAGTTAGTTTTCATATGTTTAGAACAAAAACATGGTTTATATGGACACGCAGAGAAAATACGTCTTCTTCAAAGACACTGTTATAGACCAAAACTGGTAAAAACGAACTGAAACGCTGATATTCCAGAACACAAACCAGTGCATTAAATATCAACAAAACACATGATGAATGAGGTAATAGTGCTCTCTTTTAATTCATCTGCTTATTAGGTGTCCTTGCTGACCGCCGCCAAGATCTTGAGTGTGAATGAACAATACGTTAGTGGTTGGTGTGAAGAATGAATTAAATTGGTAAAAACCTGTTGCCATGAGCCAAAAATACTGGATGTGAAAGCCAGTGATTTGGGGGAGACTGGGGAGGAAGTTATTTGGTCCCCTGATCTGCGTCTTCGACGCCCAGTACCCACACCACAGGTGTAATGAATCCAGGTACCTATAGAGTCAGGGCTAGACACACTCAGGGGGCTCTCTTCCTGGAAGTGAGACAGGGGGCAGAAACAGCACAGTCATGCAACGTTAACAACAGTCCGGCGTCGAGTCCACCAACATTCACTACCAAGGAATTTGGCTCAACAGAAGACAAACACAGCTAAGAGTGCTCATACTTTGCCAGCAGGCGTCTTGAGAAAGTCTTTCTGCAATGGGGACTAAAAAAAGAAAACAAATAAGAGACGGTGGCAGTTTTCAAAATAATACACATTTGTGGTGAGAGAAGCTTTGAATTGAAATATGAAAGACATGCAAAGTAATATATACACGCTACAAGGCTGCTAGCCGGCCCGAGTTGAATGAAAACTGAATGCTTGAAACAATATCGCATGATATTAATATTTTATAATTTTCATGTCACACTGTACAATAACACCGTCAAGTCATAATACACTCTCAGAAAAAAAGGTACAAAAGTTGTCACTGGGGTGGTAACTTTTCAAAAGGTACACTTTTATACCTTTTAGGTACTAATATGGACTCTTTAGGTACAAAGGTGTGCCTTTTGAAAAGTTACCACCCCAGTGACAACTTTTGTACCTTTTGTTCTGAGAGTGTATGATAACAACATGACAGTGGGTGCATGCAATTTTCAATTTTGGTGAACAAATCCTGTTATTTAAATTTTTTTTTTTTTTTATTATCTTCTTTTGTGTTCCACAGAAGAAAAAAATGTACAGGTTTGAAACGACATGAAACAGAATGATGACAGAATTTTCATTTTTGGGTTAACTAGCTTTTACTTAACTCTGCTCAACCAATAAATTGCATTGTAAAACTCAATTTTGATCAAATCTATCACTTTTCAACTTTTCTTTGTATCTCATTACATAAAGGCATGATCCATGGCTAGGTGTGCATGAAATGACTCTAATCCACACCATCTGAAGCTAAGCAGAGTACAGCGGGAGAATTACATTTATTTGAATGATTCTGAAAGAAGGATCTGCATTCGTGCAGCGTCTCTCTACTAGCTGTGCATTTAATTACTTCAAATCCAGTCATGTTACCACTTTGCTGCGAGAAATATAATGGTGCTCCTGAATGCTGCTGTGTGCGCGAGCGACCGTCTGTATGCGTGTGCTTCATTGAACTTATGCATTAATTTAGAACAGAACTACTTGTGCATTAGAGTGATTTAACGCACACATCTCAGCCAATCAGAATAGAGTATTCAGACAGACCATGGTAAAATGATAGCTATAAATAATTTTCTCATTATTACAGAAGCATGTGCTTTGATTATTTGGTTATTTAGTGTAATAAATCACAGATGGGAAGATAGATTAGTAGGAAAAATGTAGTAGAAACATACAGTTGATGAAATTTCATTTGGGCTAAACTAATAAACGTGCTGAATTAAAGCAATGCTCTGTCTAACTATGAGTGATACGGAGCTAGAAAAAAATATGAAAGTTAGGGTAAGTCTACGTTTGATGACAAAATCACTGTTATTATATTTTAAACTATGTAGTACTACAGTTGTATAGTTGTAGACCCAGAACAACAACATGGTATTTTGCTCCCATTTTGAGAAAATGTAGGTACTTTAAAATTACATACATTAAAAAAAAACTAAATACAGAAACATCAAACTGATCACTAAAAACAAAATTCAAATGGACAGAAACTGAAATTGAAAAGAAGGCTTTGGCACGTTAAAAGTTAAGGACATATAAAAGCATATTCACATGAAGAGAGAAAATTGCAAGCACTTGTTCACATCCCTACATAATGTGAATGCCACAGCAACGTAAAAGATGTTTTTAAAAAAAATATATGATTCTAGCTATGCACAGCACATTCACTACCAGCAAAAAGTTTGGAAACACTGCATTTCTTTGTTTTTAACAACCTTTTAAATTTAAAAGCTTATACTTGAATGCTTGAAATCTGTTTTTTATACAAACAGATTTGGTCATATGAATTTCTGTCAATTTACAGTTAGTTATTAGTTGTTTACATTAGTTAATATGAACTAACAATTAACAATAGTTTTATAGAATTCATATTAATGTCAATTTTAACTAATACATTTTTAAAATCAAAAGTTGTATCTGTTTAACATTAGTTAATGCACTATGAACAAAAAAAAAACAGTTAACACCTGCATTTATTATAAACTAACTACTATAAAAAAGTATATGGCTCATTGTTAGTTCATGTTAACCAATGTTAACAACTGAAACGTTACTGCAAAGCGTAACTGAATTTCTTAAATCAATTAAATCTATTAAAGTCATATTCTAATTGGTATTATTTACAATAGTCTGGCATACATGGTAACTGAGTCTGTGCAGCATCTCTCTAATGAAGCCAATTCATTCATTCAAAAAACTCTCTCTCTCTGTATGTTTGTATGTATATATATATATATTGCATGTCGCTTTAAATGCTAATGAGCTCTGCTGACCCCGCCCCTTTCTTCCGTGGGGTGAGGAGCTGTTCTCATGAGACTGTTTACAGTGTTGCCAGATTGGGCGGTTTTGAATTTGATTGTGTGGGTAAAAATTGGCTTGGGCGGGTGGACAAAATTTGGGCTGGTTTGGGGTCAGTTTGGCGGTTTTCAAACATATAAATTGCATAGGCTAATTGTTTAACAAACAAGCCCAAGTATGCATGTACTGCATCCAATCAGTC